GTTGTCCGGATTCTGCAGCATCTGCAGTTCCTACTATCTCAGCTCAGTTCCTCTCCCCGCTGATGCTGCCAGACTTGCCGAGTATTTCCAGAATTTTCTGTTTTTATTTCAAATTTCAAGCGTCCGCAGTATTTTGTTTTTGTACCTAATTACAGCTTTTTAAACCCAAAATAAGACGAATACTGGTCCAGATATACAGCCACATTATAAACAGGCCTTTATTTTCTGTGTTCAATGCAATGTGTGTTGACTTCCTCAATGCTTAAACTACATATTCGTTTTCCTTTGTCTTTAACAATTGTGATTCAACTAAAACAGGTTTGCACTTCATATCAAATCATCAGTTTTGATAATATCCTGAGTTTATATCATGCGTTTATATATTGTTCCTGGATACATTACCACAGATCTTATCATACATAAATAATATTTTTTGAAGAGACAAGAGTATCCCTTCTTAGCTCTAAGTAACATATATTGTGATTAACGTGTGAAACTGGCCGTGTTGTTATTGTGAACACTTGCTAACATCAAAGAGTTAACTTTCAAAAAGGCTTGGAGACAGCGAGAGGCCTTTAAAGAGCCTGGCGGGGGTGGAGACTGCAGCCAGTGTGGGATTGTCTATCAGAGCGCGTGTGCGACACCTTCAGACTGGCCCCGGCACCGGAATAAAAGAGGGGAGCGACAATTTGTGCTGTCAGCCTGTAAATACAAACACAAATTACACAACCAGGTTTTGATGGTGAATAACATCTGCAGCCGAATAACTGCAGTATATTCTGTTCATCGGGGTGGAGGGGCCCGCAGTCCATGCACACAATGAGCAACTGTTTACCCAACGTCGATAGAAAGGCAATTAAAAACAGTTAGATAATAAGCTTTTGGAATTACAGGTTTTTTAAGGGGCAGTGAGGCAAAAACACAAGTTTCTCACTATATTGCACTTAAATAATATATACCTTTAGTCAATTTTCAAGAGAACAGAGAGAGTAGGAGTTTCCACAACAATATGCTGAATGCAAAGGAAATGCCTTTAATTAACAAAAAAAGGTATGCTCATTACTGATTCAGGTTCTTTATTCAAGCCTTATGTTTTAATTTTACTTTAGTGTAATGAATACAAACTCTCTTCTGTCTTGGCTACTGCAGTAGTAGGAGAGACATGTCAGTCCCTGTCATATGGCTGGAAGAAGAAATAGCATCAATTCATCAGTTTTGTCTTACTCAAAGTTGTTATTCTTAGTGAAATTGAATGGGATGAAATAATATGGTGCTCCCTCTGCGCTGTCCTGGACAAGCAGCATCTCCAACTGCAAGTGTTGGCTAACTCATATTAAATATTGCTGGTTATTTTTCATTTGATGATTTCATGCAGGAGTCTTATCAAGAATTTATTTGAAAACAATAATTCACTAATCTCCCTACACCTTCTTTATTAAAATAGGGTCCTGTTACACTCCTGTGCTATTGTTTTAATTTTCTGCAGACTAACTTAAAATTTGCTTTACTTTGAAAGGAAGCAGTTTTTGGCAGTGTCTCATCTAGTTGAATGAAATGAAGACTGTTAATATGGACGAACTGTTGATAGCTTTCTTCACTACATAAGAAATAGGAGAAAAGGTTGGCCATGCAACCCCTAAATTCTGCTTTGCCATTCAATATGGTCAGGGTTGATCATCTGCCTCAGCTCCACTTTCCTGCCCACTCTTCATATACATTGATTATCCTGTCTGACCAATCATCTAGTTATCACAGCCTTACATATATTTAACAATTGAACATCCGTAACCCTCTGGATTGTGAATTCCTCAAAGATTCAAAGAATTCACAAATTTCTCCTCAGCCTCGTCCAAAATGATCAACCCCTTCACCTGAGATTGTGCACTGTGTTCTTACATCCCCAGCTAGATAAACAACCTCTCTGTGCTGATCTTGTTAAGCCTTTTCAGACTCTTGTATGTTTCAAAGAGACTACCTCTCATTCTTCTAAACTCAAGACAGTATAGGCCCAATTTACTCAGCCTTTTGTCATAGGACAATCATCTCATCCTAGGAGCCAAACTTATGAATTTTGGCTGTACTGTGTCCAGTGGAAGATTATAATTCCTTGAATAAAATGGTAATATAAAGGAAGCTTTTGATTGTTCAAGGCATGCAGTATTATTGTAGAGATAAAATAAGTTGATTTCTTGTGCAGATGAAGACATGAAAACAGATCCATGATTTAATGGAAAACGGAGTTTCTGCTCTTTCCAGCAAAAAAAGGCATTTTTCTCTATATGCTGTGATTTAGGCTGTTAGCTGCATTTGAATTTTGACTGAATGCAGGAAGGAAACTGTAGACTACTTAACAGAGTTATGTTTTGCTCAGGTGCACTCATGACATGTATTGGAAAGTATTTTTGTTTGAGTAAACATGAATGACTAGACATTCCCTAGTTACATGCTTGTAAGAAAGAAAATGTTGCATTTCCAGCTGGTGAAGTACTTCTTGAAATGAGGTCACTGCTGTAGTGCAGGAAAAAAGGAAGCCAAATTGCACCCAGCAAACTCCCACAAACAACAATATAATAATGATCAGATAATCTGAATTTCTTTTCATTTTATTTGAGGGATAAATACTGGCCAGGACACCAGGGATAGCTCCCTTGTTTGTCTTTTAATATTACCATTATAGGGATCATTTACATCTATCTGAGCAGGCAAATGAGGCCGTGGTCTAAAATCTCATCTGAAAAACGGTATCTCCATACTCCCCGAGGACTGCACTGTAGTGTCAGCCAAGATTTCAACACTGAGGCTGTGTAGTGGGACTTGAACCTGGCTACTTAAAGGAAAGAGTGCTTCAAGCTGAACCATGGCTGACAGTGATTATGATTGTCAACTGTAAAAAGTTTGGATTCAGGAAAATGTTAACCCTTCTTGTAGAAAGATATTGTACTTTGTTGAGACTGCAATAGTTGGTTTAGATATCCCAATCCATTATGATGCAACATGGGCTGCAATGCCTTCAGAACACTTTTACAGGTTTCAACAAAACATCACAAATCCATGTCAGGCCATAAAACTACACTCCCATTTCACATGGCTGCATTGGTAAAGGCACTATTTGGTACTCAATTCGTTTCATTGACCCCATGGATGGAGAGAGGAGAAATTCATTCGTCTTTCTGTTTCTAATTGATATGTAATGACCCTTGATGCAAATGTGCTTCTTGGGCCCCAGGAGGACAGCTTACTAACATTCACTATTCAAGCTCATTGCTTACTTGAAAAAATGTACATTGAACTGAATTCTTCTTTGTAGAGGTTAAGAAGAGAAATTGAAAGAAGAGTTGATGGAAAATAGTGTAGACCCAAAAAATAATTATTAACTTTTGCAATATGTGTTCTTTTTTAGGATATGGTAAATAGCTAGCCGTCAGCATCATAACGATAAATGCAGCTCATTGACTGTAAGCAGTTTGAGATGCCATGAGTGGTATTTTTTTCAATTGCAAGACTTCTTAAAATCTACCAATCGATATCTATCCATATCAATCACAGTTTATATGTTTACAATTATAGAGTTCTTCATCATAATGTGCTAGTGAAACTACACTTATCAACCTGATAATGAACCTATCATTTTTGTCATGGTATACTGTGGTTCTTGCTATTTATCACTCATTTATTCAGCCATTCCAAATATGAGAGGCTTTGGATTTTCTGTTGTTTGTTTCTCACTTTTTTGGGGTTGGACATTGAGAGTTTGGATGTTTATATTGCCACCCGAACTACACTTCTAACAATTCCATTGCAGGCAAAGTCAAATTAAAGCCCATAGTTCCATTTAAATTTCTTCTAAAAAAAAAAGGTGCAACTTGCTTAATTTCTTCTAAAATGTTGTCTTCTGTGGTGTCTT